GATGTCCAATAAATGTGAATTACTGTTACTTATCTTGTCTTTCACCTTTGCACCTACCTGTTCAGCAAGCTCACCAATTTAATACTAAGCCTTTCCAGAGGAGTATTAATGCAGAGGGCATAACACGATGAAGGTAAGGGAGCACTTTCATAATGCTGTTAACCAACAACTCCATTAGCTACACCTGAACGTAGAAATCCAAACAAAACCACAGTTCTAAGACTTTGCGGGCACAAGTGGACATAAGCAGCATTTCCTGCTGCAGTAAACATCTTGATGGAAAAATAAAGCAAGATTATTGTCCTGAAGCCACATCCTAGGACTGATCTACAGGAGACTGCTATCAATGCTCTGCTCTGAGTACTTTCAGATCAAAAATATCTCCTCCAAATCATGAGGGCTCCTAGGTACTTAAGTATGCACTAAATTTTACTTTAGAAACTGCATGCACATTTCTGGAAAGTAAAACTCACCTTAAGAATCCATGATATCAAGTTATTTTAAATAAACTCTAAAAATACTCTAATATCATCTTATGTAAATGTCCTCTGTTAATTTTTGTAACTCTACAAAATAGTTAGGTTAGACATACAGCTACTTTCTCTTAATTCAATGAGAAGAAAGATTTATACTAATAGTGTTTGGACAGGATATCCTGTCTGCATCTTGTACTATGAATAACCACTACGAAGACAACAATATGCAATGTATTAATTATTGAAACTGTCCTACTAATCAGTTTTGAAACTGTCTCATTGCTATTTCTCAATAAAATTAATAAAAAAATGTTTATATCTCATGGAAGTTTTACATACCTTGTTTTTTAAGAAACCAAAGAGGTGAAATTGTTAAAGCAGGGAAATTTAGGTTCTAAAAGATCTATAAAATCCCTCTAACTCAAGAAATACAATCATCTATATAAAAACACTGCTGATGAAACCTTGGGCAACCAGAGGTGATCTAACAGGCAGAACTGTGGGCCTGGAACACTGTCTCATTTAAATCTACCACCTTTCAGGTCACTCTCACGTCCCTCTGCCTCCTCACTTTCTACTCCTTTCACTATCACTGCTCAGAGTCATCTCCTGTCCCCTTACAATAAGATACCGACATGGGGAATACCTAAGATCTCCTTTGGCTCAAGGCTGGAAATTACCATATCCTTCCCATTGTTTCACACATGTGATCTGTAGACCCAGAGCAACATCCCAGTGTATCTCCCCCAGATACATATATGTCCCAGTCATCCAAGCAACAGGTATCATTAAGTTCTCAAATCAGCTGACTTTACATAAAATGATTACCCAAGTGGGCCTGCTCTAATCAAATAAATCTTTTAAATATAAATCCAGTGGTCAGAAATAAGAGAAGGCAGAGATATTTGATGTGTGAGAGGGATCAGACAGGGAGATTCTCCATAGTTGGCTGGGAGATGGAACAGGCCATGCGACAAGGAATGCTGGCAATGGCCTACCACCAGCAAGGAGATGGGGATCCATAATCTCTGGAGAATTGAATTTGTCAACAATCTGAATGAGCCTAGATACAATTTTTGCCCAGATCTTCTAAAGAGAAATTCAACTAGCTGACTATTTTATTTATTTATTTTTGAGATAGGGTCTCACTATGCAGTTCAGGTTGACCTCAAATTCACTACGTACCCCAGGCAGGCCTGAAACTCATGGCAATCCTCCTGCCTCAGCCTCCTGGGATTGCACAGCAGGCACCACCAGGTCTGGCTCTAGGTGACCTGTGATGTCAGCTTTGTGATACATGAAGAAAAGTAACACAGTCTACCTTCACCCAAGAATTCTGACCTACAGAACATGAGCTACTAAGTGGGGATTATTTAAGCCACTAAGTTGGTAGTAATTTGTTAACAGAGACAATAGAAAACACATATAATATGTAGCTGTCATTCTCTCCTCTTGGGAGATTTTTGGGAGGGTGGCATAAGCTATAATCTTTCAAAATGTCTTAGGCAAACTACTGCGGGCATAACTGAAATACAGTACTATACCATAAATTCTTGCTGCTTCAACTGAAAAAAAAAAAAAAAAAAAAACAAAAACAAAAAAAAAAAACCAGAAAGGCTGCACAGATGCGGATCATCTCAGGAAAATTCCAGGCAGCTCTCAAAGGAGAGTACTGTGCTAAGAGCTGATCTGCTGTGGATTAGGACAACAGAGCAGGACAAAAATCTAGGACTTATTTCCAGAGATAGAAGCAAGCCAAGTTCTTCCCTTCTTCATGGGATGCTGACAGTGGAAGCGGGGTAACTGGTTACTGCATCTCTTTAAAAACTAGCTACAAAAAGAAGAGCCAAGACAAAAGAATTCACTATGCCAGGAAATGCCTTGCTCTTTCAGCCTCCCTAAAGGGGCTGTTAAATCAGAAGTCCTCGTGATATCTGGTATCTCCTCAGTGAGAGTCCTGAGGCCATCACGATTGAAATTTCTAACACATTGGGTTACTGGAAATTTCCAGCATCCCGAGGTCATTCGGCTACTTTCTGGAGCTTGTTGTGATTGGAGATGATCAACACTGTCTAAGCCCATGTGGCCAAGAAAGGGTCAAAAGAATAATTTCTCCCAAAATGTACTGACATTACTTGGTCTTGGTACAACTGAGTGTCAAAACACATCATGGATTTATTGGGAGAGCCTACCCACAATCTATCTGACAGAGGACTCTAACCAAGCGTGGTAGCACACGTCTGTAATCCCAGTACTCAAGAGGCTGAGGCAGGAGGACTGCTGTGAGTTTGAGGCCAGCCTGGGCTACACAGCAAGACCTTATCTCAACTTTAAATAAAAGGAAAGAAAGCATATGAATTTTTTGAAAATTAAAAAAGATAGTGCTGTGCTGGCCCTGCCCAACGATTGGGACTGGGCATGGTGGCAACTGCCTGTAATCCCAGCACTTGGGAGGCTGAAAACAGAAGAATCACTTTGAGTCCCATCTACACAGTGAGACCCTGTAGATCCTGTACTAAAATACATTTTAAAAAATTAAGAAAATTAAAAAAATAATCAGGCAGCTCACAATACTGGAATAGCCAATAGCACATGAAAGGCAGTTGGTATCAAACATCACAGAAGCATAACTAAAACAGTGACTTAGCCACTATGTATTCAACAGAATGGCTAAAATTTCAAGACTGCTAATGTGCTTTTTAAAAAAAAATTTTTATTTATGTATTTATTTGGTACAGGGTCTTGCTACACAGCTCAGACTCTTAGTGATCCTCCTGTCTCTGTCTCCCCAGCACTGGGATTACAGGTATGTGCCACCACGCCTGATTTCAGTGGCCAGCATGTATGTAGTACTGGGGATCGAACCTGGATCCTTGTGCTTGCCAGGCAGGCACTTAGACCGCTGAGCTATCTCACCAGCCCAGGATTGTACGTTTTGAAGATATAAAACTGTAATTTTCATATTTTTCTGGTGGGAATGTAAAGTTGTGAAGCTATCCTGGGAAATACTATTTAACAGCTTCTTAGTTAAATGTGTGTCTATCATCTGATCCAGCAATTCCACTATAAATCAAGAGAAAGGAAATCATAAATTCACACAAAGACTTGTTTGAGCAAAAGTGTTCCCAGCAGCCATAGACGCCAAAGCCTGAGCCAAGTATCGTGGCGCATGCCTGTAATCTCAGCATTTGGTCCTTCAGGCAGAAGTATTGTTAGGAGTTCAAGGGCAGTTTGGACTATATAGTGAGACCTTGTCTCAAAATCAATCAATCAAAACGCCCAAGCCTGTAAACTACTCAAATGCCTATCAGTTGTTTCTACAACGTATCAGTAAAAGATAACTTTAAAAAAAAATGGTTTCCCAAAGAAAGCCAGATGTTCCACAGGATCCCATTTATATTAGGTTGGAGAACAAAGCAATAGCAGAGTAGCAGTTTTCTCTGGTAAGGGCAGAAGAGAGTGATGCCAGGAAAGGGTCAACAGTCAACAGAGAATTTACTGTGGCTCTGAGGCTTTTTTTTTTTTTCTTTTGGAGACTGGATTTCACTAATTAGTTCAGGCTGACCTTGAACTCACCGTGATGCTCCTGTCTGCCTATTAAAGGCATGTGCCATCATGTCGGCTCAGATTTTTTGTTTTGTTTTTTATATTTTTAGTAAGGGTCTACAAGGTCTCACTACATAGATCAGACTCATAGTGATCTGCCTGTGCTCAGCCTCCCAAAGCGCTGGGATTACAGGCACGCGCCACCCCAACAGTCTCAATCTCTCAATCGCGGTCTCGGTGTGCCTGCCTAAACAGGGGCTTTATTCATCCACTGTGCCATTTGGCCCACCCGTTTTGTTTTGAGAAAAGGTCTTGCTTTGTGGTCCAGGCTGGCCTTGAAATTCCTATGTAGCTCCAGCTGGCCTCGCCCGTCCTGTGATCCTCCTGCCTCTGCCTCCTGAGTGCTGGGATTACAGGGGCGCGTCACCATGTGTCGCCATTGTGTCTCTTGGAAATGCTATTTTACCTGAGCGGCATTAAAGCAGTGATTCATAACTATAATTTTTGCGTTTTACCACTTGCAAATTTCACCCCAATGTTTAAGAAAAACTTGGGGAGCGCTACCAATTAGGAGGCAGTTACCTAATGCATCCTTGTATTTCTCCACGTAGGGCATTATGGCACTTTGCACCTCTGGCAGCCGAAGTAGGAAGAGCCGCAGAGGAGTGCCACTAACTTCTGTCGGTCCCGCGCTCGCTCAAAAGCCACCTTTACGGGAAAAGGCAGTCTTCCCATCAGTAATAACCTCCCCCCTCCCCTCACAATGCAAAGCGGACGACTCTTCAACTAAACTCCATGTGTCCATACTAAAGGGTTAAAAAAAAAAAAATTCACACCGAGAGCCAGCAAACACCGCGGCGCGCAGCGCGCCCCGCCCCGCCTCCCCTCGGCGAGCCCACGCACGCGTGCTCGCGCCCACGTATGCGTGCTCGCGCCCGCCCAGCGCCGCGCATGCGCACACGGCTAGTGCGGCAGTACCTGCGCAAAGCCAGGGCCGGAGAGCTTTTTCTTCTTACCGGTGCCGTACCCCCCTCCGCTGTTGCCGTTGTGGGAAGGGCTAGCAGGTCTTTTCTTGCTATTCCGAGCTATCCCTGGAGTGGAAGGGGCAGCCACAATTGGAATTTGAGCCGCCATCCTACGCTGTTTTCCTCCTGCTCCCCTCCCCCCCTCAGGGCGGACTCTGGAACTTCCGGCTCGCGGTTGCTTCCGGCTTCGTGTTTGAAAACCCGGCCTGGATTCGCGGGGAGGTCCCGGCGTGTCTCGGTGACATCTAAAAGGCGGAACCCCGAGCCGTCTATTCCGGCGGTCCCCGGAGGTCTCAGTGGGGTGGTTTCCCCGCCACCCTGGTATTCAGAGTCTGGACCTTGGGGCGCATGACTGGAAATCCCCAGTGAACATCTGATCTTTTTAAATAACTGCGTTTTAAACAAAAATTAATGATCAGGTGGCCTTTTCTGACGTTGAGTCAGAAGACTGAGCATTTTTGATGTCTGAGAGTGGAAGTTGCCCATGCTCAGTGGACTAGCAAGATCTCCAGACGGTTTGGGCGCCTTTGGTCACTCATTGCCTTCTCTGGGGAAGGTTTGTACGGTGTGACAGTACCGCCCATTAGACTTGGAGACTGGAGTGTTTCTTGGCATTTTAGGCGTGCAGCCTCCTTCGAGCTGTGAAGTATTATCCTTCTGGTTTCTGCACTCCTTTCTCAGCATTTTACACTTCAGATTTTAGGGAAAATACAGACCGACTCAAACCTACTTATGAACCTTTGGCCCACTCCTTATATTTTTGCCTCCTACTACCCTATGTTTCTTCAGAACCTTTATGAAAATATAGCTAAATGGTTTGTAATTGAATGGTTAATGTCTTTGGCCCCTGCTAAAATGTAATCTCTGAGGAGAAAGACAATTATATCTTACTTATTTGTCCCCAGTCGCAGTACCTTGCCAGTCACCTGTGGGTTAAGTTTTAATTAAGTAAATAGTGAATAAAGTCAATGTGACTAATTAGAAGCTGAAGTGACATGAAACGAGGTATTTGAGAGAAACAAGCTATAGACTGATTTAGAGGTAAAAGACAGCAGTCAAGGAAACTAGCATTATTGTTACTGTTATGGTTTGGACCTAAAAGGTCTTCCAAATCAGGTGCAATGATACACGCCTATAAATCATCCCAGTATGCTGTAGACTGAGGCAGGAGGATGGCTGCAAGTTTGAGGCCAGCCTGGGCTGCACAGTGAGATCTTGACTCAACAGCAAAACAGTGTCTTCCAAAAGCCATGTGTGAAAGGCTTGGCTGCCACATGATGGACTTTGGAGAGTGACTGGATCATGAGGGCTGATTTCTTCAGTGCATTAACCCACTGATGGATTTATTATTTGATGACATTATTAGATGATGAAAATTTAGGAAGTGGGTCTAGCTGAAGGGAGTGGGTCATGGATATTGTCTCTCCCAGCCTCCTCCTGTGCACCATGAGGTGTGGTATCTTGCTGTACCACGTGCTGGTTGCCATAACATGCTGCCTCAATGTGGACCCAGAAGCAAAGCAACCAAGTGAGCCCAAGAAACCATTCCTCCCCTAAACTGTGCTCTCAGTTATTTTGTCAGTGAAGAAAAGTTCACTAGCACAACTATATCTTTTCATCCCCTTGGAAACTAAAATAACCTGCGAGTATTGAAATATTTTCTCCTATATTGGATACCTGACCCTATCCTCAACTAAATCTAGTCATTTCAAAGGACTCATGCCTCCAGCCAGCCAGCTAAGCCAGCCTGCTCTAGTGTCTTACTCTCCCGTTTCAGTAAGTCACCCACTCAGCTCACTGTTATTTTTTGCTGCTATTGCCCTGATAATTCCAGCTCCTATGTCTGGGTCTGCAGTAGTCTTCAGATGGAAGTTTGGGTCTCCATCTTTTTCCCATTCATCCCTGAGCCTAGAACAGTGATAGAAAACCTCTTCAGGTTTTCAATGATACAAGTAGACTGTTGCGGCATGTGTTCCATAGGTTGACCGCCACTACCCTATACTGTCCTCCCACTGGCTGCCAGAATGCGCTTTCCAAATCACACAGATAGCTGTAGCACTTTCTTGTACTCTTCAGGGACCCTTCACCTTTGGGGACCAAATAATTTTTTAACTTTGGCATATAAGGTCCTTAAGAACTGGAGCCTGCCCTCTTTTGTTCCTTCCTGATGTCTAGTTCCTTGTGCTCCAGCTAGGGAGTAACTTTATTTCCCAGGGTATCCATTGTTCTTTTAAATCATCATACCTTTGTATCCATACTTTCTCTTGGAGGATTACTTAGCTGCTTGCCCTTTATTCTGACATAGTTCATATTCTAACACTAATGAGAAGCTTTATACTACCTGACATGCCTTTCTTCCTCTTCATCTCAATTTTGTGCACGTATCTTTGAGGACATTGAGCACAAGGAATTCTTTGGGGTGTTTATTTTATTTTACTTTTTTGTCTTTTAATTTTTTTAAATAGATTACAAATTGAAAATATTTACAAACAAATAAATATAACAATAAAAATTGTTCAAAATAAAAATGAAGAATTTACAGATCAGTCATAATAGTTCACTGTGTCAAAACCAAGAAACTTAACATTCATATAACTAAAATTCTCAAAGTAGGAGTAGGCAATAAATATTTAAAGATTAAAAATTTCTGAATTTAGTTCAACTTATAATACTGCATTTCCAAGAAAATGAACCTTTTGCACAAGAAACTTAAATAAAATCATACCAAGATACACAAAAGTGAAATTGTCCAAAACTTATTGTAAAGAAAAAATCATTAAAGCATATACATGAAAAATATTAGCTATGAAGAACAAAATTAAATAGCATCTTATTCCACATTAGAAAGAAAAAAAGGACCAAATATGTAAGAAACTAGACTAATTAAAGGACTGAAAGAAAAAAGATCTGTCGTCTTTGGATTTTATACTTAGCAAACATACCTTTGAAAACTAAAAGTAAGATTTTCTAGTTATACAAACTTGAAATAGCTTAATACCTCTAGAAGTAGCATATAGAAAATAACAAAGAGTATAATTCAAAAGGCGAGAGGTCGTGGTATGCTCCTGGATGAACAATAAAGAGCTCTCAATATGATAGTTATGCAGGACTATATAAAATATATTAGATTAACCCTTATTTAAAGGTCATTGAAGATTTCTATGAAACAGTACCAATCTTATGTTGAGTTATACACGTATTTTTTCATATATATGTGTGTATGTGTGTATAAAAGACAGGAAAGAAGTAATGTAAAGTCAACAGAAAATGGGAATATACTTTTTACAGTTTCTAATACTAGGAGAAGATATCATACAATGTCTTTTAAATAAATTGTAAGTCAAAGATATAGTATAAATCTTAGAACAAAATTTAGGATTAAACAATATTCAGAAAATTAAATACTAATTAAAAATGAAATGTTTCAAAATAATTGAACTAAGAAAAATTTTTCATGATAGCAAAGAACTACTAAGAGTAAACCATAAGGTAAATACTGGAATGGCAAATAAATGACCAGCACTTTGAACAGTTTGAGAATAGGATATTGCATAAAGTTCTAGTGTGTTGTGGACGTGCATAACGACCATGACAGTGACTGGTGGCCAGGTGTCACTTGTGGGACTGAGCTACAGCTATTTTTTTGAAATCCACCCTGTAGACTCAGATGGAATCATGACCCATAGGGTGGAAGAGAAGTCCATTTGTAGAGTGTGCTGATGGAAATATTTTGCTGCTGAACACAAAAGAATAACTGAAGGACTATATTATATACCTCTAATTCTCCTGTGTTTAATTCTTTGCCCTATTTGGCGGGTTCTTTCCAATCTCATTCATGGGGCTATGATCACTTTGCTTCCTCTCTAGAACATCATTTAGTAGTCTTTGTAGGCTTGGCTTTGTCATCATGAAATTCTTTAGTTGTTCTTTGTCATGGAAGTATATTACTTCTCCTTTATACTTGAAAGAGAGTTTTGCAGGGTATATCAGTCTGGGTTGGAATTTGTTTTCTTGCAAGACTTGAAGTACTTTGCCCCATGCTCTTCTTGACTTGATGGTTTTTGAAGAGAAATCTGCCATTATTCTGATGGGTTTTCTTTAAACGTGATCTGTTTCTTTCTTTAGAGGCTATTAGTATACTGTTCCTATGACAAAGTTCTGGGATCTTGATTATTATATGTCTGGGTGTGGTTTTCATTGGGTTGATATTATTTGGAGTTCTATATGCTTCGGTTACATGAATGTCAGATTGTTTCCCCATATTTGGGAAGTTTTCTGCTATTACTTCTGCCCATATTCTTTTTATATCATTTGTATTGACTGCTTCCTTCTCATTGATGCCTATTAGTCTCACATTGTTCATCTTTGCATCGCCTTGCAGGTATTGAATTATTTTTTCCTGCATCCTAGTTGTTTTTAAGAGATTTTTTTCTTACTTTTTCACTAGCTGCAATGGTGTCTTTAAGATCAGAAAGTCTATTTTCACTTTCACTCAAACGGTTTTGCCAGCTTGTGATTGTCATGGAAGTATTTCATGTATATCATGAAATTTCCTGTATATCACTTTGAATCTATTTCATGCATTCTATTTCTTTCCTATATTGCTTATTCAGGGGTTCCATCATTTTTATATTCTGCTCTATTTTTTTTATCAGTGTCTTCTTTAGAAGCACTTAGTACTTCTTTGATTATCGTTATCACTAAATTTTTTAGTTCAGAAATTGTTTCTGGTCTGATTTCTTCTATACCTTTGTGCAGTTGTTTCTTTACTTCCAATGCTATTATTTCAGAGATATCAGAGGTGTGATTTCCAGTTTCCTCTGTGCTAGTGTCTTCTGCATTTGCCTGAGACTGCATTTTGTTCCTTCTCTTTGTCATTTTGTATACCACTGTCTTCTGACCTTTGGTGTAGAGCTTAGATAGAGTTATTACCTTAGCACCACGTCCGGATCTATGAAGTTCAGATTCCTCCAGGTGGATGTTGCTTGGATCTGGCTGGGGTCTGGCTGCTGTGCTCCACTTCTTCCCGCCACAGTCATTGGAGTTGAACCCTTTGTGTCACTCTGGCAAGATGTTCTGCTCCTGAATCAGCTGGATGGGTCTTGCGTCTAGCCTCTTTGCAGGGAATTCTGCTGAAGGGTTCCATGCTGGGCCTGTACTCTGGGTCGAATGAGGATCCAGTGGGCCCCAGGCAGTCTCATTCACACACCAGGCCTGCACTCTGGGTCAATTCAGGATC